GTCCTGGCCTACAGTATTCTTCTTTGGTCGTTGCGTAACTGCCATGACGAAGTTGACAGGCTCTAATTTGATGAAGCTTTAGCTACCCATTAACCAACCACGTGAACCGGTGTTTTGCATACGGTTAAACCGTTGTTAAATGAAGCTTTTACGTTTAGATTTAAGTCGCCCTGCATCTACTTTTAAAGTTTTTTTCTGTTGTGTTGCTTTTATGATGTTTTGCAAGAAAGTAGAGGTTGAATTCTCTGTCATTGTTTTTAGTGCATTTTAAGCTACTTCAGATCTATTATGTCACCTTTTCAAGAAGTTTTCTTGGCTTTTTGCCGATTTCTTTTGTTCCCCTTCAAAGAAAACCGGTCGCCACACATTTAGGCCAAATTCATGACTCGCGTTCGTTATTCGAGCGAATGACTAATTTTATGGCGGTGGTTAATGAAGTCGCACCTGTGAGGTCGGACGATCTCCATCTGTCGCTTTCGTTCCTAGGTGTTTTATAGCAGGCTATCAAGAAAGGTCTGCTTTCAGAACATGTGCAGGATAGTTCATTTCTTGGCAAATTTATGTGATAGTTACAGTGTCCATTTTATTTGGAAGCATGAGAGCGTGATGAAACGATTATTTCAGCCTGTTCGTGTATATTATTACGGACAGTGTCCCCTCCTCAGTCTGCAGACATGTTTATGTGGGCAACGTATCTTTCTGCTAGATAAATTTTCCAGAACGCTAAAGTAGCTATACCGTCTCTCGATTGCCATTTTTGGAGTAGACTGCAATCTTTCTCTGCCACAAAGGCGCATTTTGAAAGTTTAGATGCCTTCGCCTTGGTAATGCACGCCCTGTACGATGTTGACGTTCAGGTTCAGGGACGGAATACTACCATGTGGTTACTCTTTTAGTAAAATTTTTTGACATAGAAAATAAATGTTTATTAGTGAAATAAGTTAATTATGGTAAAAATTGAAAGTATCAACAGATACTTTTCACATTGGAAGCCGTAAACATTAGGACTAATCAACAGGCCTTGGCTGTTTCCAGTTCAAGAGAAATGCGATGCTCAGGATTAATTAATGAAAATGTGTACTTTCTAACTTATCAGGTTGCCCCCAGTGTGCCGCTTGCTTTGAGTTAATTG